AAACTTTCAAAATATATACAGTAGGTCATTATCTCTTTTGGTTAATTTATGTGGAGAAAAGTAAGTAAAGTAAAGTAAATTGTCTTATACAGCAATGGCCAAGTGCCAGGGACCAGAAAACACTTAACTTGTCTAAAAAGAAAATAAAGAAGATGTTTACTTTGTCTTACAAGTAGAAGCTTTAAACCGGCATGTTTCTACAGTAACCCAGAGGGGACAAACCAAACACGGACTCTAGATAGGTAGTAGTCTTAATCGCCAGAGGCCACTAAATCCTACAAACTGGTCCTTTAATGACATAAATCTGTAATGTAGCTAATGTTTGTGAAATAAATGTAGTAATAGGATCAAGTGTAACATTATAACTGACTTTTTCTTTTACTTTGGTGTGTTGCCAGAAGATGTCTCATGTTTTTGCTATATAACGGCATCTTGTGAGGGGCAGAAATAAAAACTACAGCTGTTACAGTACCTGGCCGGGGAACGATGCAGATCCAGGCGTGGAGCCTCCAGAGTGACTGGGAGAGTTGGGAAGAGACTTGCAGGCCTGCAGCGCCGCCTGCTTCCTCTGAGTTACAATCTTCTGGGCAGCTGCAAACACACACACACACACACACAGGGGCCATTAAACAGTTTCAACTATCAGCAGAAACCAGCGACTAAAACATTTTTCTCCTCGCGGTGAATCAGGACGCTCTGATAAAACTCACCCTCCGCAAACACTCGGTCAACATTGAACCCATAGGTGGCACAGGTCTCGTAGAACAGCGAGTGACGCACATCGATGCACAGCTGTCTGGCTCTCTGATCCTCAATCACACGAGGGTTGGTGCTACTGATTTTATCTGAAGAACAGAAACAAGATCAGTGAATCAGTGATTCTTGTTCTGATGCTTATCTGAAACTATAACAAAAGACAGGGTCCTCAAATTGTTGCTTTTGTCCAACACAACAGTCCAAATCACAAATATGTTCAGTTTATTATCATATGTGAGACAGAAAAAACAGCAAATCCTCACGTTTAAGAGTCTGGAACCTTTTTCACAGCAGCCATTTTCACATGAAATAGTAAGGTAAACACAGGCATTATCAGTTATACTAATACGGACATAACAAGACGAAAGAGACAAGAGAGGGAGACTCCATCCTGTTTGAAGTTTCAAGTGTAGAAATGTCTTTACTTTTATACTTTGAGTACATTTCAGAGCCTGTTACTTTTTGTTTTCTGTACTTTCTACTTGAGTAAAGAATGTGTGTACTTCTTTCACCTCTGCCTGCAGGAAAACTTTAGAAATAAACAAGATTTGCATATTTTTAATGAGGTAGAAGGAGAGAAGATGCCTTTTAAGGATTTTAATGTGGAAACACACATTATTCTTCCAAGCAGACTATTTGTAGATATGTCCTAATACATCTCTGGAGGGAATATTTAAAGTTCTGAAGCTGAAGCAGCTGCAGATGTTCTGCAGTGTACTGTGTGTGGTGTATATGGTGTATGTGGTGCACACGGTGTTGACCGACTGTTATCCAGTTCAGGATGGTTAATGTGCTGACCTTGGGTGCCGACCACTATGACTGGGATGTCTGCGCGGTGTGCACTCAGCTGGCTGTAGCGCTGGTAGAGCTCCTGGAAGCTGGCCTCGTTCTCCAGACTGAAGACCAGGATCACTGCGTCAACCCAGCTGCAGAACTGCAGGTGGGGGGAAGAGAGAGGATGATGGATGATGGATGACAAATTCTGCAGGTATTTCAGTTTTGCATACTAACTACTGTCTCTCTCTCTCTCACGCACACATTCACACACACACACACAAAGACGCACCTGTGCATCAGGTGGACCAGCTTCCTCCCGGATCAGTAATAAATTACTCTGCCCGTCCACCACCACTTCCTTTTTATACCTGCCACCTGACAAGGACAATGACAATGACAGACAAGTTATTCAGCAGCTGGTGGCAGCGTGACAGGCTGGAGGATGAAGCCACATCACACAGCAGGTAGCATGAAACATGCTCAGACATCTCTGCTGTCGAAAGAGTAACACAAAACGAGAAGCTAAAAATATGTTTTAGATTAATTGTAATTTGTAAACAGAAAGATTATGAGAAGAAAGAATTAAAGATTATGTTTCTCACCATCCGGCTTCTCGATCGCAGCATAACTGCCTGTGATGTATTTGTTCACCAGCGCTGACTTGCCACTTTTTTGACTTCCCAGAATGCCCTGAGAGATAAGGGAAGGAAATATAACACCATGAAGTACATTCAGAGTAAACACACACACACACACACACACACACACACACACACAACCACAGCATAATGTATGAAATATAAAACTAAAAAACACAAGCTTTTAGTTCCTCTATCGAATGCGTCTTTGTTCCTTTTAGTCAGTTTAATCTGTGAGCAGAGCTACAATTTATATCTCCATTGTTTTATTCATCTGCATGAGGACATAGTCAGTGGGGGAGGAAGCATTTAAACTCTTGGTGCAAAAGTCGCAGTATAAAAGGACTTTGTTATAATCCTGCAGTCAAAACTTTTGTGAATGAATGCTGTCAAATAAATGTAGTGGAATAAAAATGACTATATTTTGTAGTATAAAGTGTCAGTGACTCAAAATTAATGCAATGTATATGTACTTAATTACTTTCTACTACTGCACATGGTCTTAATTTGACACAAGTTTATAATTTGAGCTTCAAGAAGTAATTTGACCAAAAGTTCATACAATATGAATACGTTTTTTTTTTTTTTACATAAAATTAGAGGAACTGGTGGCTATCTTAGCTTTGCACTCTTTATAAACCTCAACATCTTTAATAAAATGACACAATTGTGAATAAATGGAATAAATTCCTCTGTTTCTGATACAGGTGTCTGTGAGTGGTCTCACCAGTCTGAGCTCTGGGATGGATCTGCTCAGCGTCCACTCCTGGGTGTTGGCAATACTTACTAGAGAAAGACAGACAGAGACAAACAGTCAGTGGAAGCTGAGACGCAGAGAAGAGATTCATCATTTTGATCATGTACAGTAAAAAAAAGGGCAGCCATCATAACGGCCTGTGGGAGAGCAATAAATCACACAGCTGCTACGTGACTGTTCGCCATGAGCACATGTGTGGCCTCGCAGGTGGTCTTAATGAATATAACCTTTAAGTCACAACAGGGGATCCAACAAGGTGCAGCCACACCACTCGTTATCCACTTTGCTCCCCTTCGTGTCCATAAGTGACGGACAGCTGTGGTGGGGAGTTATGGTGGCCTTTACTGGTTCAGTCCAGCTGCCATTCAAAGATCCTGCTCTGAAGTAAAATGAACATGAGAACTGGCTATCTTTTTGGGATTAAATGATTAAAAATGTACCTATGAAGTGTCAGAAACATCCAAAACGCAAAGATATTCAGTTTAAGACGATGTAATAAGAAGGAAAAAAACCATCGTGGCTTATAAAGAAGCTGAAAACTGAAACGATTAAAGATAATAAATGATTGCAGTTATTTTTCTGCTAATTGACTAATCAACTAATCCTCTCAGCTCTAAAATTAACTAATGTAAGTTCTGGTGTGTTTGGTGTGTGTGTGTGTGTGTGTGTGCTGGAGATGTCCATTCACACACACACACACACAGATGCACACACAGTACAGTAGACTAGAGCGGTCGGTTGCACACAGCTGTGCCAACGTCCCTGCTGGGCGAAGGAGGTGGCATGCCCCCAATGTGATGTGACGCTCACACCCAAACACCCAGCTGCAGCTTCAGAGGGACGAGAATAGAGAGGAAGAGGGAGCCCGAGGGGGAGACTAAAACTGATTCAGAGACAGAAAAAACATACTCTATATATTCTCCCATACTGAAGGGTATTTTGTGGTCCCTAGATTGACCACAGAGAAAGCCATTTATGACCATTTCATTTTGATGGTCATAAATGTCTTACTGTAGATCACTGACTGTACCTGCTACAGTTACATATCTTATATTGTTGGATTCAGCACAGTCAGAGCTTTCTAACAAACACTGGTTGGTGTTTCTGGGACTATCACAGCCAACGCTACCTTAGAGTAAATGAATATATTTATCATACGTCCTAAATGTCCGGCTTATTGTACTTCTGTGTTTGTAGTCCTGTATTTCCTCAGTTACTTCAGACATGTAGAGGATCCCTCAGCCTGCTTCCACTCCAGCTTGCATCATGAAATTACATGATTTATTATTTATGGGGTGCGTCACAATATCTGCAAATTAAACCACTTTTGCAGTAAATATTTCTATACAAAGATCCCATTTGAAGCTTTTGGATGCCTTCCCACCAGCCTACTTATGCGGTCTAATACAACAGTCCTGCAATAAATCTGATGTTTTAATGTTCAGTTTTTGTTGAAACTGTTTATGTTGAGAGGTGTTTCTGTCCTAATTATTATAAAGAGGGTGGATACAATTATAGAAACATCTGTCAGTATAATGCAACACAGTTCAACAGTTCAACAAACTGCATCCTCTGAAATGAATCATGAATGAATCACACTGTTGAATCAACACCTCTCTCAACTGTTTTTACAAAAACTTAACACTGTAACCTTCAGGATTTATTGCAGGACGGTGTACATTAGACTGCATTAGTTTTAAGCAAAGTGTACCTAAAGTAATTTAGACTGCAACCCAGTTGCCAGATTAATACAGTAGGAGTTAGCCGTAGACTGTATAATTAAAAATGGATGTAGTCTCCGTTAAGAGACACATACATTTCTGAAGAGTCCTGCTAATCCAAAATGTGTGGCACCCACCTGTAGCAGCCCGAGTACAATGTCACGAACGGGGAAATTCGCTATAGAGACCGAAAAAGTTTATTGTATCAGTCTGTAAACATGTTTATTTCTGCTGTAAAGTCGGACATTTTAATATGGGGCCTTAT